TAGCACGTGAGATGCTGAAAGAAAAATCCAAGCAATTGGTGCAACCTGACATCCTTCTCAAATTCCGCTGAAGAAATGAAAGGGCTGTGTAGGTCAAGTTGTCCACCGCTCATGGTAGGATCTTGTTCTTAAGAATTTCCCTTTTGGTGTCTCTGCTGTGAAAGAAACCTCCAGGAGTTTAGCTCCAGGATGGTCAGGTTGGGTCCACGGCCACATCGTCTTCCACCAACGTCCACGCCCTGCCGCCCAAATGGTGAATCCCGCCAGGGAGCCAGAACAGTTACGATCGTTTATTCCCCAGATAGCGAAGCTATGGGGTTCTTACTTCAAATAACAATGTGTTGCCCGTGCGCGCTTTCGAGACAGGTTGTTGGTGCTGGTCCACGCGTGGTGGAGACAGGGTGCCGGGTGCCGGTGCCGGGCGCCGGTGCTGGGTGCTGGCTGTTCGCCTGGTGTTTCTTATTTTTTCAAACGAAAATGAGCTGGCTGCGCGCAGGGTGCCGGTGCTGGGTGCCGGTGCCGGGTGCTGGTGCTGGCTGTGTTGCTGGTGCTGGGTGCTTTGAGCTGGCTGTGCGCGTGGTGGAAATAGGGTGCCGGTGCTGGGTGCCGGTGCCGGGTGCTGGTGCGGGCTGTGGGCGCGTGGTGGAGACACGGCGCCGGTGCTGGGCGCTGGCAGTGCGCGTGGTAGAGACAGCGGGCGCCGGTGCCGGTCCTGTGAGCTGGCAGTGCGTGTGGTGGAGACTGGGTGCCAGTGCTGCGTCCTGGCTGTGCGCCGCGTGGTGGAGACAGGGTCCCGGGTGCTGGGTGCTGGGCTGGGTGGTGGTGCCGGTGCTCGGTGCTGGTGCCCGCTTCTGACAGTGAAGTGATAACAACCGCCACTTCTGACAGTGAAGGCCGCTTGCAGCAGTGAAGGGCGACCAAGCACGGCTTCCGACAATGAAGTGCCAGCAGTCATGGGCCGCATGAACTTATGCACGCAACATCATGCGGTGTTGTCGCTTGAGCGTTCTTTGTCTATTAGCGCTGTGGGGTATTTACACGTCAAGGATATAGAATTTGCGCGCATACTTTTGCACGTATAATGTTGTATGCGCAACGTCAAGCTCTCAACCGACCATGGCTTCAGCGTGTTTCAGCATGCTACACACACAAAAGTCGTGCTGGATACTGCTTGGCCTTGGGCGAGTGAAGCCTACGGGCTTTGCCGTTTGTGCGCGTACTTTTGTTCGCATAAACTTATACGCGCAAGATCATACGGCCTCATCGTTCTGCATATCGTTGCTTCAAACATGCTACATAGTGGCGCTGGATACTGCTTGGCCTTGGGCCATATGTTGTTATTCCCCAAATAGGGC